AGATAACTCACAAGGGATCATTTTCCAATTAAAAACGTGCTAAAACTATAAATATACCGACCATAGAAAATTTTTAAAATAGTGGCAGAATTCTGGAATTTACAAAACCACATGTTCAAACATTAACACTTTCTGTCCCAAAACAAGAATTTTAAGCTACAAATCTCTGAGACACCCCAATGATTATTAAACATAAAAGTAACAATCTAAAACATAAGAATTAAATTTCTCAAAAAATAACACATGCCATTCATGCCGAGCCACCGCTGAATCTCTGATTACTCTAAAAATGTTAAATAGGAGTGAGCATTTCAAAAAAATACTCAGTAGGCTACACATGTTATATGAACATATAATCATTCAATTATGCATTCTTACATATTGCCTTCATAAACATGTAAATCGATGATCAAACAATCTATTTTAAGTTCTGATGAGCCTATGTGACCATCAATTTAACATACATACTTATGGTTGTGATTAACCTCTGCGACCATCAGTTAAACATATAAACTTAAAGTTTTGATGAGCATCTATGACCATCAGTTAAATATGTAATCTTTCTTACATCAAAATTTAAGATAAACCCTTAAAAGCACTTCATAGACTTCATGAGCAAATATAACGAATAATATGCTTAAATGAAAATTCAAGTTATACGACAACAATTTTACGTAGGGATCCTACCTTTTTTTGCAATAATATGATAGTGACTCTGTCAACCGATATTCCTTTCAAATCTTCAAAGTGAAAATATTCTCTGCTTGTCTATATTTGTTATTTGGTGTGGATGCCGTATGCATATAATATGTATTCAGTGTGTGCTATGTATCTTATGTATCAGGATAACTCGTAATCTATCATCAATAGGAGTTAATGAGTAATTAGGAGTCTTTAGCCATGCAACTCTGAAAGATGAAATAAGGAATGAAACAAATGGTTTCCTAGTCTTTTTTTTTTTTTAAAACCCACACGTGAATTGTTTAAAAGATGGTTGAATTGGTTATAACTTATTCCAACGAAAATAAATTAAAACAAATCCTAAAAGCTTTCATCCTAATCCAAATTCAAAAGTGCAAATTTAAATTTCCTGTAACTCACGTGGCTGCTAAAACTAGTCCATTGATTTACTAAACTTAACTAAAATAGGTCTTTCTTTTGAACTACAATAACTTAAGCCTAACTTATTCGAAATAATTTTTCTCGAGTCCAAAATTTGCCATTTANCTTCAACTTTTTTATATCCTCATTTTCATCCTCGAACTATTTAGGCCCTGTTTGGTCCACATTTTTTATCTCATTTTTCTACTCATTTTCAACCACACATTTTTCAATAAAATAATATTTTTCATCACATCAACAACTTTTCCTTTCTTTTCAGTCATACATTCTCCATCAATCTACTATTTCAAAATACATTCTTCCTAAATAATGTGGATCAAACACACCCTTAATATGAGATTCGAAACAAGCCTAATATCGATATGAAATTTCTCACTAAATGAATACTTGATTATTTGGCCGAAAACTAGAGATATTGACATAAAAACTTATTCTTAAATTAATCCCGCAATATCTCAAAATTTAAAAAACATTACAAGATTAAATAGATGAAAATTTATTTCCAGTTGTTACAATCCTCCTCACTTAAAATAATTTTGTCTTCGAAATTCAATTTACTTGATTAAGGAAATCTGGGTACTTAGCTAAAAAAAAAAATTGTCTCCAATGTAGCCTCGTCTCTCCCATGTCTATCCCACTGGATTTTAACTAATGGCATTTCTCAATTTCTCAAAACATGTACTTTCCTCTCTAAAACCATAACAGGTGCTTCTTCATAAGTCATATAATTTTACATGTCCAACGACTGAACATTAACCACATGACTTGGATCGTGGATGTACTCTCTCAACATAGAAACGTGAAAATACATCATGCATTGTCGATAGCTCGCTCAGGTGGCAGTGCCTAACGATATGCTACGTTTCCAACCTTTTCGAGGATCTCAAATTGGCCGATAAATCTTTGTTTCAACTTCCCTTTCTTTCCAAATCGTAGTATCCCTTTTATCGGGTGACCTTGAGAGATACTCTCTCCAACCTCAAATTCTAGTTCTTTTCTTTTATTACCTGCGTAACTCTTTTGGCGATCTTGAGCTATCTTAATCTTCATTTTTATCTTATCGATATCTTCCACAGTCTTCTCAATAAGTTATGGACCCAAAATTCTACTCTCGCCAACCTCATCCCAACATATTGGTGAACGACATCTTCGG